TGCGGGATCTTGCAAAAAAGAAACTTTTGAGGGATCTCGCAAAAAAGAAACTTTTGCGGGATCTTGCAAAAAAGAAACTTTTGAGGGATCTCGCAAAAAAGAAACTTTTTTGGCGGGATCTCGCAAAAGTTCTTTTTTCCCCCTCCATGTCCTTTTAGGGGCTCCGTATTAATGCCTCTAAAGTTATGTTGTTAGAAATCTTTTTTTTTTTTCTTTTACTCAGTGTTTTTCATGAATTTCTTACAGAAGCACTGTTGTTATTTTTCTTAATATATCCGGCCAAGTTGGCGTTTCTTATTATTACATTGACATTGATTTTTGTCATCCAGCTGTTCCTAAAGCCTGCTGTTCCCTTCTGTCTCTCAGTGGAAGGTGCGGCGTACTTTGGCGTTCTCCATCCATGAGCTTGCAGTCATTCTGGGCGATCAGCTGACGGCTGCTGACCTGGTGCCCATCTTTAACGGTTTCCTCAAAGACCTGGACGAGGTTCGCATCGGCGTGCTCAAACACTTGTATGACTTTCTGAAGGTGAGGTCCGGATCCCTCCGACCAAAACGATCCACGCGAGAACGAAGCAGCCGATAGCTGAGCTGGTTTTTGCTTTTCTGGTTCTTTCTGCAGCTGCTGCACGCAGACAAGAGGAGGGAGTATCTGTACCAGCTGCAGGAGTTCATGGTGACCGACAACAGTCGCAACTGGAGATTCAGATATGAGCTGGCAGAGTCAGTTTGCTTTTTCTGAATATTACCATTATTTATTTATTTATCCATGTTTTAGTCATTTAAATGAACTGTATTCACTTCCTGTTCCCCTCCAGGCAGCTGATCCTGATCATCGAGTTGTACAGCCACTACGACGTCTACGACTACCTCAGACAGATAGCGCTCACTCTTTGCTCTGACAAAGTGTCAGAGGTCAGATGGATCTCCTATAAACTGGTGAGCTCTCATCATTAGATTCTGAAAACTAGTTTGGAAAATCTGCTAACGGAAAAGAAAATGTTACAATAGTGTTATTTTAACTCAAACTCCCATTCATTTCCATCTTTCAGTGTACCTAGAATGCTCAGTTTTATTTGTCACCTTCTCTCAGGTCGTGGAGATCCTCCAGAAGCTGTATGCATGCGGAGCCGACGAGCTGGGTCTCAACTTCATTAACGAGCTCACAGTCAGGTTCTGCCACTGTCCCAAATGGGTGGGGAGGCAGGCGTTTGCTTTCATCTGCCAGGTCTGAACATTTCTTCTCCTGATGCACAGAAGCAGGAACTTTTTACACAAAAAGTCACATATATTCAACTAATTAGATTCAAACACAGATGAATAGATTTAATACATTGTCATTTAGATTAAAGGTGCAGTAGGAGATCTTTTCTGACGCATCTGGCTTGAAAATCTCCCCACAGCCACTTAGAAAGCAGTGAAATAGAAGATCAGAAAGTGAAACTGAAAGAAATGGTCCCAACTACAGTGAGAAATCAATGATTAACTCCAACCAATCACAAAACCCGGTTCGTTGTACACGATTGGTTCCTGACACGTCAATCATGGCTGTCTGCTTGTCCCTCCCCCTGTGTGCGTACCCTGACACATGAACGAATCGACCCCCCAATGCTCGAGCAGGACGCCATGGCTGGAAGCTAGCCACTGTTATGCTACGTTCACACCTAAAGCAGCAAAAACGCGCGTGCTGCTTCATTTTTGAGGATTTCTGATTTGTACAAGTTTAGTTCTGATGTGCGGCTGAAGCATCTTTGCTAGGGTGACCCGATTTGGGTTTCCGAAGAGATGGGTGTCGACTGCTGGGCCGCTGACTCTCTCTATGGTAGAACGGATCTGCGTACCTTGCCTTTAAAATTAATTCTTTGGGTGAAATTCCCAAGGTGGTGGTGTTGGTCCGTAAGAAATTATTAGTGTCAGGTTCTCTTTCCCTTATACACTGTTCGTGTTGCCACATTCTCACGACCTCAGCAGAGAGCCATGAGCCACCCGTCCTCAGCCGGAGGACGGGGGCTGGGGACTGGTGAGGCAGGCAGGTTTGGTCGCTCCGTCCTCCGCTGGCTCCCTGTTTCGATAACGTGCTGCACTGTAGTCGACCAAAATCGCGGTTGCTGCTCTGGCTGCGCGGTGGATAAAGTGGGTCTGATGCTCGTTGGGTGGAGCTACTCTATCCTTTCTTTGCCTGGAACAATGGCAGCTATATTAGCTGTGATCAGTGGGTAAAAAGTAGTTTGAATCTATTTTGAAATGAGAAAGTTCACCTGAAAACATCGTCAGTTCATCCAGATTACCATCCTGCCTTCAAATATTATTTCTGTCTGAGCCGCACAGACCCCCGTACACCGGCGCTGCGCTGTCATTAGGAATCCCATTCAACAGCGGCCTCTGACCCGGTCGCCTCCTCGCGGTTTGCCGCGGTGGCTGGAAGGCGTCTTTCACTTGCGTAATCCAAACTGCGGGCACCAGGATAATAAAAGCGAACATGTTTTGCCGGCAGATTTTGGCATTTTGGTTTTTTTTGTTTGTTTTTTTAACAGTGTCCTGTCTGGCAATGTGGCAATAAGAATAATTGTCTTGATGCCAAAAGGAGCCCAACAGATTTTACTATCAGTATTTTACTAGCAGCATGGCAATTGCCATATTATTGCTCCACTTGAATCATGCATATAAAGTGCTTTATTATAATTATGCAGGGAGTTTTACAGTTTATATGGACACTGCAATGTAAATAGTGCAGAAAAAAAAGAAAAAGAAAAAAGAGAAAAGATGAAAGAAAGAGGAGATGGAAAGGAGACCAGGGTTCCTACAGCATAAGGCAAGTTAAATTCCAGACTTTTTAAGACTTTTTAATGCCTCTTGAAATAAAAATTAAAGACCAAATTCACAAGAAACACAAGAAAAACCTGCTTGCAACAACTTTACCAAAAGGTTTATTTTAACATAAACCACTGCACTAATGTTTCAAATTTTGAAAAGCTTCCCATACAGGAAGAAAGCTAAAAACACACACATGACAGATATATTTTAACAATTATTTAACTGAATTCACAAACTTTGTTTTAGCAGGGAACAAAACAAATCAGTTTTAAAGCCCCAACATAACCAGTGCTAAGTCTTTTTTGCAGCTATTTTTCTTAGTATGTTTGATTTGGTGATAAGTGGATGCGTTGCAGAGACAAGGGTGGAACAAAACTGAGAAATACCGGCTGTTTCTCGGTAACTCGATTTTGACGCTTCGTGCTTCGCATGTGACTCCACTGCCTTAATTTCCATCGCACTGTGCCTCATGTATGTTCCCTGGTTTTAGCCATGGAGAAAACTCTTGGCTGGAGATTTCCGTTACATTTACACTTGCTCATATTTTCCAGACAAAAAGTTAATGGTGCATCTCCCAAATATCCCGGCTGCAACAACGCTTTATTGGTTCCGCTATCGGGACGGAACCAATAATGGCGAGCTGTTATTTTTTTTTTAGTATTTTAAGTTAATTTAAACGTTAATAAACTGTTTCAGAGGAGTGATCATAGCGCTCTGCATCATCAGCGATGCTCCTGCTGCTCAGACGCGCTGCAGACAGAATGCGTGTTCATGTGATTTGAAGGCGTGGTTTCGAGGAGTGGTCTGAAGGCGTGTTGTGTATGTTCAAAAATATAGCTTACTTGAACCTTTTTTTCCAAGATCTCCTACAGCACCTTTAACTGTCTTTTATTGGTAGTTTATGTCATGTCAGCGTTACATAAACCCCAGGCTGGTGAGAATGCGTTCACCATCACCTGTTTGCTCACGCGGCAACAATGTGGTAGAAAGTTATTTGTTGATTGACCTGTTGGATTAGATTTTTTTTTTTGTTACATCTTTGCTGCATAAATATTCCTTCCTGGGTGCTTGACGTGTTTTTGTTTCCTTAAGGCCATTGTTGAGGAGGACTGCATGCCCATGGATCAGTTCAGCCAGCACCTCCTGCCCAGCCTGCTCAGCCTCTCCTCTGACCCGGTGGCTAATGTCCGCGTTCTGGTGGCCAAGGCTTTAAGGCAGAGTGTGATGGAGAAAGGTACGGGACGTTGTTTTTATTTATACTGTTCCTAATAAGGAGGTAGAACCTCTGTGCTTCATCAGCGCCACTTCCTGCTAACCGTGTTTTGTGTCCAGCTTACTTTAAGGAGCCGGGCTGTCCCTATGCCGACGAGCTGGAAGAGACCGTCATGGCTCTGCAGTCTGACAAGGACCGGGACGTCCGATTCTTCGCCAGCCAGGACCCGAACAAAGGCCTGATGGACACGGCTCCTTTGATCTAACCCCCCCTGCCCTCCCTCCTTCAAACTGCATCGCAGCCCATCTGCCTGTCTTACCTGTCTGCCTGACCGACGCACCGTAACCTTTGACACCAGCACCCGACCAGGTCCCAAACCACTGGCCTTTAGGGCGGATCTGAACCCGTTGGAGATCAGGACCGATGTTCAGGTTGAGACTCAGAAAGCTAAAAGGTTCTCAGACGACACAAAGCCCGTCTCTGGCTGGGCTGCAGCAAGCGCACATGAAAATGAAAACAAGCCTTCTTCTCAGAGTTTTTGGAACAATGAACTGGACTCGGGTGGCTGCTTTAAGCCTGACCCCTTCCCCCTCCCTCATCCACATTAACACCCACCTTAAACAGACTAATGAACTTAAGCCGGGCTTACCTCCTCCAAAGTGATTTCCAAGCTTGAGCTGATTCAGATGCTTTTTTTTTTTTCCTTCTAAATTCTTCTTCATGTGTTTTTTTCTCAGCAGACCAGCGGGCTGAGGCCTGCAGGGCTCTGTGCACTAACTCAGGGGGACTTTTCTGAACCTGAACAGCATTATGAAGCTGACAGCTGGAGACCTCCGGCTGTCCCAGCAGCAGACCAGCTGAAACGGGCAGCTCTGCTGGTCACTCGTCTCAGATGTCCGTTTTTTTTGTCTGAGCGCTCCTCTTGGTTATCTGTTCCCCTTGCGTTCATATCACTCTCTCTCTCCCTTCATGGGACACAGAAACCACTAACTGCTGCCCAGTAAGAGCAGTGATTCTACCACTCAGCTGGATTAAAGCGTATCTGTGCCTGTTAATGAGGCAGTTTCTGTCCCACAGGGCGGAAACGCGTTTTGATCCGATCGGCCGCTGCGACGAGAAACGGGTTCTGAATGTTCTCCGGTTTTTATTCTTTGATTTCTCGAATTTTCTTGATAATCGGTTAAATTCACACAAGGGCTCACGATGAAGTGATGCACGGTGGCTCCACAGTCAGAGAGCAGAAAGCACAGTGTTGGACGATGCATGTTTCCCCTCATGTAGCGTCTGTCTCACTTCCGACTGAATGGTCGCTCAGTAGAAAATAACGCCGGCTGTGTTAAGAGACTGATCAAGTTTCCTTATTTTGGTCAAATGATTGAATATGAGGTTTCTCCAAGTTTCTTATTATTTTTTTTTTCGATTTTCTGTACAGTGTGAACCTTCGAAAAAAGAAAAAGTATGTAAATGGAACCAAGGCCAGTTTAGTGGAGATGTGTGTGAATATTGGGAGCAGTCACCAAGTCACTTTTTGTTTTTGCAGTGTCTGGAGCTCAGTTGTTCTGTTGTAAATTGTTTCCCCTCTTTTTTTTTTTTTCTTGATTGAGCATCATTTGAAAACTAGCGCTGATTGTGGTTTTTTTCTGTGCATCTCGGGTCTTTCTTCCTTTGAAAGGAGAGCTCACCGCAGTAATGGCGGTGTCCACTCATCTCGTCTGTCTGCATTTTGTGTCCCATCTCATTTTTTTTTATATGTAGTAGAACAGTTAATATATACATTTTATGAAATTTATTTTCTTTTTCAATTATGCACCACAATTCAAAGATTTTATATCCTAACTTTACAAGATTTACAACCTTTGTAATATTCAATGGTTTCTTTTAAAAAGACATTTTATGTAATGTTATTTTTAGTATTCTGTAATTAAACTGATGGAAAATAGTGGGGTGTCTTTTTTTCCTCATTGGTAAATGGATTATCTGTTTTTTTATTTTTTATTTACATAGATGGATCTGGTTGGGACAGAGCAGCATCAAAGATTGGTAAAACCTCAAAAAATAATTGTATTTATGCAAGGATGTCTAATGTGCAAAGCTCTCAGATTAACTCAGATGTTTTAATCAGCTCCTATCTGAAATCTAAATTATTAAATAATTCTAAAAATGTGCAAATTTGATTAGTTTTGTCGTTAATCTGGAAGGTGAAGCTTCCCCTTCATCTCTAGCAGAGGGATGGAGGTTTTGCTCCGTACTGTGTCTTTAAATCACCAGCAGAGAAGATGCTGATCCTACTGCGCTCTTTAATGAGGATGTTTGTCAATGACAATGCTATAAAATGCTATACAATGATGAACAAAGCTTCACACGACGTTTAGTTTAAAAAGGAATTTTTCCTTGTGCTGATTTTTTTTATTTATTAATCCAACCTTTGCAAATTTTTATGTTTTATTACATCATTAAATATAAAGTTCTTTGGAATATTTTACAAAGAATGATGGAAATGTTCTCCAGGACTCTGCAGAACCTTCCTAATCACTTGTCTTGTCACAGATTTGTGGAGGGAAGTCTGGTTCTTGGAAAAGTCAGCCTTATTTTCTCCTCTCTCTTGTGTGTTTATCTGAGGCATCAGAGTACAGATCCACTGATATTTTTGATGAGAACAGCTTCAATACTTAGAAAGCTCTGAGAATGTTGCAAACTGACAAAAACGACTTTATTTATCTGAGGCCTTTGAAAGGAGGCTGGCTTTGTGATGCCTTCTGTTTAAATTTGGGTAAACCTGCATCTTATAACCCAGACACGCAGCCACAATATTTGTATATATAAATATTATTTATAACCCTGTTGAATTGCACTGGATATATGTTTCATTTTAAGGTTTACTGGAGGATGTTCTTTTTAATAATTGAATAATAACTGAACTTTATTGATCTCACATTAGAGAAATCTACATCTGTATTTAACCCATCCCCTTTGGCAGCAGTGTGAGGTAAAGGGTCTTGCGCAGAGTGGCAGACTGTGGGAGTGGGGTTTGAATTTAGAACCTCAGGATTCTAAGCTTTATGTCCGAACCACCAGGTCACGGTTCCCCAATCATTTTTCCGCGTGGATCATCAAATGAATTGGTCCTCCTAATTGTCAATCATTCTGATGATTATGTAAGGCCTTCATACGAGCATTTTCACTTACTGGTTGTGAGTCTGACGTGGAAAAATGACAAATCATCTTTTGGTAAGTAAGCTTGTATAAACAATGAAAACAGCAACTTTTAAACAGCATGCATGCTCTCGCACACCTTTAATAGTCGTTCCCTCTCCGGAGCAGTTACAGGGTTGTTGTTTTTTATTTATTGAAGAAGGTGGGTCTTTTCAAAAAATTGCAAACATCCTCCACTATACCTTTAAGGTGGAGAATATTCTTAAATCCCCTTTAGTTACATAAACACAAATCTGGAAATGTCAGCAGGGATGTGAAGACTTTATTCATAGTGTAACACCCGAAAACACTTACACAACTTTTATCATTTTGTATACACAGAGTGTATACCAAACAAAATGTTGTTTAAAATGAGCTCCAGCTTATTTCTGATTGTTCTACATGTTTTAGACAAGAGATCTTTGCTTTCAGCCTGCAGTACTTTACTTTTTTTTTTTTTTTTTGCCAGCTTGAGTTATTTGATAAACTAGCCTAAAATAAACTATAAATCTGAGTGGATCATAATCTGGTCTATGAATTATTGAAATTAATGAAGATTGGAGGATATAAAATTATTGTAGTTTATTCTGAACAACATAAATTTCAGTGTTTTGGCAGAGCATTCATCCTTTGGCTCTACAGAGTAAAGATAACACTTAACTACATATAGGACAACTTTCAAAAACTAAAGAATTTATTGTTGTATAAATAAAAAATGAGCAGTTAAACAAATTTCAGAATCAAAATTTAGAAAGAAAAATACTTAATAATTTTTAGAAAACACACACCAGGAGCTTTCATGTATTCTATGTAAAGCTTTGAGGAAGGTTTGATTTAAAACCTCGTCCTTAATATTAAAATGAAAATCCTCTTTAGTATTAAACTCATCAGACATTTAATTTTTGTTTTCCAGACTCTCCTGAAGCGTCTCTTAAGCTCGTCTCCGTCTGAACAGCAGCAGCTTGCGGTCCCATGTGGTGCTGCCAAAGCTCCTCATCAGCTCCATGCCACAGTGCCTCTCCAGGTGCTCCCTGGCGTGTTCTGCAATGTCACCCTGGATCTTTAAAGTCTTAAAGTGCTCAAAGTCGGTGCGGCCCAGCTTCCTGAGGCGCCGGGCTGCGGAGCGGTAACACTTCCAGGGCTGAGCCTCCAGCAGGAGGTGCTGACTGATGGAGGCCAGGCGAGACAACAGCTGCAGGAGGCCTGAGTCTCCGTGGTTCAGGTGGACCCACATGGTGACTGCCAGGCACAGACACAGGTGGAAGTGGGAGCACCGGTGCTGACTGAGGTAGTCCTGGAGCTGCTTAGTTTCCTCAGTGATGTCCAGCTGCATGAAGGAGATGTTCTTTTGCAGAGGGTTGGTCTGCTTTGCACGCTCTATTAGAGCTCCATCCAAGTCAAAGCCAAGAAGGTGAACTGTGCTCCTCTGGGACTTTTCCTCTGGATCCTGTACAAGATGCTTGTAGACGGCCACACTTAGTTCCTGGTGTCCACACAGAGACAAAACAAAAACTAAATTAATAAATATAAAACATTTTCCCACTTACAGTTCAGGTTCCTTTGATATTTAATGTTCATTTTCTCTATATCATTAAATGGAAATTGAATTATAGATCTTAAAGTGGCAGAACCTTCAATGGTACATCTGTTGGTATTTGAAAGAATTTGGTCATTGATCTGAATATGTCAGATTATTAAAAAATGGACTGAAAATGAATATCAAATAATATAGAAAACAGTTTTTATTCAAAGACTCTTCAAGGAGAGTTTTTGTTGAACTGCAGGCTGTGGTTGTTAGAAAATGATACATAGTCAGTTCTATTTTGCAGCCAAATAAATATAAACCCACTAAACAGTGTAGAAGTACAACATGCAAATGTTTTCAGCTGAGATATTACTGCGTTGACTCCATTTAATCATCATTTATGTTATCTATAAAATACCCCCAACTATAGCAACCATCGCCATGTGCTTTTAAGGCGACCATGAAACCGGAAGTTGTCCAGACTCACGCACCCCTGAGTTACACCCCACGTCCAGGATGAGCGTTGGCTCCTCTTCCACGTCACCGTGACCTAAATCCCGCAGGAGCGTTTCTGGAATCAGCTTCAGGCGGTTTTCTGGAGGATTAAAACTGTAATAGTTAATAAAATTCCCGTAAGGAGCAGCACCGGGGTCTTTTAGATCTTCATTGGGGTCTTTATCACTTGGACATGTTGCCATCGTTACGTGTGCGTCTGATAAAAGATTCCGGGTAGAAATATCGTAACGGTAGGTCGGTTCCTCACATACTGTGGGCATTCTGAGAAAAATGTGGTTACATTATTTATTAATAATATTTTATTTTAAACAGAGTAATTCGATACTTAAAGATTAAATGGTTTTCATCTTTATTTTTAAAACACACGTTGTGCTATATATAATAAAGCTTACTTTGTGCAGTTATTAAAAATATAAATAAAAAAGGGAATGTTCAAATGATAAAATTGGACTTTTCACTTTAAGAAAAAAAAATAATACATTTTTATTTCGATTTCATATTTTCCCTTGAATTATTAGTGCTCAATATGACTACTGGGGGGTATTAAAGTTAAGATGAATGCAAGGGTTAGATTTAAAAGTTCAACAGAAAACATTTCTTTTGTCATAGTTTTAGTTAGATTTGATAAATATTCTTATTTAAATGGTTATACGTTGTGTTTCTTGTAGATTAACAGTTTTTGTCATTAAACTTGGCAAACATATTTAATTTTTGAAAAATGTTTAATGGTAGGCCAACATCATTTTGAAAACAAATCTCCAGCGTCACTTTTATCGTTGTTGAGTCGAAAGTCTAACCGAAAAATGCAATCAAAGAAATTGATATTCTAAAAATATATATATATAATTTTCCTGAAGGTCACATAAAAACAATGAAATTATCTGAAGATTGACTCTATAAATATTAATAGCCAGTTGATTACAATTGTAAAGGGTTAATAGATCCTAATTTATTGGTTAAAAAAAAAACATTTGTTCAACTCATGAGAGAAAAAGACAAATTAGGAACAAATCTGTTTTTTTTATATATATTGTTCAGAAATTGTTAATGTAGACTTCTGCAGCTGTTCGCAGGTATGTTGGTTCACTGTTCATGAGCAAAGTACTTTACTTTGTCTGAGACAGTTTGCTTTTCTTTGAAAAACAAAAATTTAAACTCAAAATTTTATGTAACTAAATAGTCATTTATTAAATTCTCACTTATTTCAGTTTTGTATTATTCGAATTTATTTTAAAATTAAATAGACCTTTTTTTGTTTTTTCTTTTAATCACTTTGTTCTATGATCTGTTAATTTTGTTTTTTATTTGTATATAGGTTCTCTGTATGATTCTATTTGTTATATTATACATACTCTGCTTAGCTTCCTAAGATATTCAATTTACAACTTTGTATATTTTTTCTTGATATGCCTTGTAATACTTTGATTCTTCAATAAAAGAATTTATATATATATATATATATATATATATATATATATATATA